TCAGTGGGCATGTGCAAAGCTGCCTAAGTCCTGATGCCTGATGCTGCTAATGAGCTGCTTGGAGCCCTCACACATGCTTAAGCCCTGCTGGGATCTTCAAGGTAGGTGTTCCTCATCTGTCTTGTCTCTGGAGCCTGATCCAGAAGGCATGCTAAGGGCACACCTAACTTGCACAAAAGACAGCCGGGGTAAACAATCAGGAATTTTGGGCATTTGTGTGTCCCAAAATGTGCAGAAGCCCAGTGGGTAGAGAATGCCCCTGGAACATAGGAGAGCCAGGTTTGAATCCCTGTTTTGCCTGCCTTAGAGCAGAGACTTGAGCCCAGATCTCCTACAAATTAGCTGTGTACCCGAACCATCAGCGTATTCTGGGTTGGGGGTTCTTCTGTTGAAGCTGTTGCACTTTGTATACATAATTAAATATTAATTGAAGCAGAAACTCTAACCTTACTCTCCCACATCCAATGTGAATGCCCTAACCACTGGGCTAGAGAGTCAATCTCTCTTTATCCCAAGAAATATTTAATTCCACTGGGTGGCAGGGCACCTAGGAGTTAGGCAGTGTAACACTTAAGTCCCCTTTGTGAATCTAGCCCAATAGAATCTTCTTCCTACATGCTGACTTCATCTCTCAACATAAACAGCTCCCTATGGTTCTGCATCTTTGCAATTAGCAGTAATTGCAACCTCTAATGAGCAATAACTTGGACAAAATATAGCATGGTTTCCTGAATGAAGATTTCAGAGTATGTTTCTGCTACTTGTTTCACTTTTTGCGCTTCTCCCTGGCCCTCTACCCCCACATATGCATAAATATCAAAACATCTGCTACACTGCATTCTAATATATATGAGATATTGAATATCTTAAACAAGCTAAATTCTCTTAATGGGGCATAGTACCCATTCGTTCTCAGGAAAGGTGGCTCAGGGTTGTCCAGGCAGGGAAAAAAATCTAGAGGTAAAATTTTGAAGCCTAACAGACAGATTTTAAAGGTATTTAGGCACCTAAAAGTTGAGAGTTAGTTGGCTAGGTGCTTTTGAAAATCCAACAACTCGATGCTTTTGACAATTCCATACATCTTTAGGTGACTAAACACCTTAAAAATCTGGCACTAAGTCACTTTTGAAAATGATACTCCTAAGTCTCATAGACTCAAATCCACAAAGGGACTTAGGCATTGCAATCTCCTGGAAAATCACTGGAATTACAATGGGATTCACAGAGCCTGAGTTAAGTGCTTAGGATCCCTGTACAATGCATGGGGAGGAATAAGCACCTTAGAACGAGATTTGCAAAAGCTATTGTGCTAGATGGGAGCCTCCTAAATTAGCCAGTGGGAGATGCTGACAAAAGAGGTGTGTCCTGCGCACCTTCCCTCTCATAGAGTTAGAGCATGTCTACACTACAAACTTAAGTGGACCTAACATATGTAATTACTGCAGTAATTACTGCAGTAGTTCTCATCCACACAACCCTTCTTTTGTCCGTGGTGCACCAGGAGAGTGTTAGGGGGCTGAAAGACCAGGCTCGCAGCTCCCTGCCAGAAGCCCGGCTGTCCCCTGGCTTGCAGCTCCCCACCGGGAGCCTGTCTGCCCCTCCACCTTGGATCCCTGCTCCCCACCATGAGCAGTGCAGCTGCCCCAACTGTCGGCTCTTTGCTCCACTGGGGAGCACAGCAGAAACCTGGAATCCCAGTGTGGTGGAGAGCGGGGAGCCCAGGCAGCAGCCCGACTGGGAGCAGGGACCCGGGGGCAGCCTGACTCCAAGCGGGGAGCCCCGGCAGCAATCTGGCTGGGAGTGGTGAGCCAGGTGCGGGAAACCCAGGCAACAGCCCATCTGGGAGCCGGGAGCAGGGACCCAGGGGCAGCCTGACTCTGAGTGGTATACAGGGAGCCGAGGCAGTAGCCCAACTCTGAGCGGGGAGCCTAGGTAGAAGGCAGCAGCCGGACTGGGAGCAGGGAGCCGGAAACCTGGGCCATAGGTACCAACTCCGTGGGTGTTCCGGGGCTGGAGCACTCGCTGGAAAAATGGTGGGTGCTTAGCACTCACTGGCAGCCCCCACATCAACAGCTCTTCCTCCCCCCAGCGCCTCTTGCCCACTGGCGGCCCTTGCCGATCATTGCTTCCCCCTCCTTCCCAGTGCCTGCCGCGGATCAGCTGTTTCGCAGTGTCAGGAGGTGCTGGGGGGGTAGGGGAAGGAGCAAGGGTGCAGCGCGCTTGGGGGAGGGGATGGAACTGGGTGGGAAAGAGGCGGAGCGGGGGTGGGAAGAAGCAGGGCGGGGTGGGACACTGGGGGAAGGAGTGGGGTGGAGTGGGGGCAGGGGCGGGGCCTGGGCAGAGCCGAGGGCGGAGCACCCTGCCGCAGATTAAAAACTCAGTGCCTATGGCCTAGGTAGCCGACTTTGCAGACTGCCCACTGAGGTGAGGCAGAGGGTGGAGGCAGAGGCAATGCATGGGACTCCAGCAGCAGGGTAAGAAAAGCAGCAGTCTACAACTGTAGGGGTGTGGGGAAGATGAGCTCATCTGGCAGCCAGCCACCTGCCGCTTCTTCCCTGTTTGGGGGTGTGTGCCCCTGCTTGCTCCCCCTTGTGCAGGCCCCTGGTCATTGGAATGCCCTACCCTCTGAGCTATAATTAATAATCATTCTTGAGAAAATTAAACTGTGGAAATGGTGTGGAGTGGACACTATTTTGTTTCCCTGTATGCTTCAGCCATCCTCACTGCACATAAGCGGAACACCATCCAGGCATGCTATATTTTGGTGGACAGGCTGCTCCCAATTAACCAGCTGTCATCATTAAAAGAGGACATGATTTACCAAATCTAAAATGACTTAAATTGAAAGAAAATACTATTCTAAATAAGAATAAACAAAATACGTTCTGCATTTTATTATTTTTTCATTGTCTGTATCTGATACAATATTTTTTGGAAAACCACTGTTGAACATTTCACACCTTGTTAAACACTATTTAGTCTATTTAGCAGTCACTGGATGTACCCTTATTTAGTGGAATTTTGCTAATAGTGGACTCAAGGAGTGGAAGATTTGGAAATCCATTACAAGATTTGTACAGACTTGGTTATGGTCTGCCTAACCATGGTTCATTACCAGCAGCATCTGAAACCTAGCATCACTTGAGGAGCAGCAGTCAAATGACAATGGCAGTGCATGACTAAGTAATTAGGGTCTGACTCAAATCCTACTGAAGTACTTAAGATGGGCTTCAATGGCTTTGAATCAGACCCTGGTAGCAGAGTATGTCGGAGAGTTGAGATGGTGGTTAGAGGGGATGCAGCAAGCATTGGCAGATGATAAAAACCCTCAAGCAAAATTTTCCCTTGTCTTAATACTCTACATACCTTAAAATAAATAAATAAAGTGGGATCTGATTTTTTTTTTCATTCCTCAAACACTCACATCGATCTTACTGTCTATTCTGAGTGCATGAGGAATATAGGACCCAGGGCCG